GATCACCATGGCAATCTGGTTGCATGGATATGCACCAAAGAGGGAGGCACATATACTTGCTCATTAAAAACAAACATCTTGGCAATTGCCCTTGATTCAGTATAAATAATTTCTTTATTGTTCTCTTTAATGAATCCCTGGACAATCTTTGCAAAACATTATGAAAATGCCAGATTGTTGTATAAGTTATGACATGAGTATTTAAAATCAGTACTTTTAGAAATCTATTCAATGTTGTGAATTTATTTGTGAGCATTTCTCGAAACAAGGTTTGTCATATGCACAATTTTTTATCTAGGATTAAATTCTATATGCTTGCAATGATGACTAAATTTGGTTGTAATTCTGATCCATCTAACTGTTGTATTTTTCAGAGTATAAGAGTATACCGGAGTATAAGACACACTTTTAAAACTTTTTTAAAAAAAAAGTTTTTGCACTCTACAAACCTCCCAAAAACAGCCTGGTTTAAAAAAAAACAAAAAACAAAAAAAACAAAGGGCATGAATAGCCTTTAGGAGGCTTGTAGAGTGCTTCTGGTGGGTGCCCCCCTCCCCCCAAATGAGCAAAAAGCGGCCTGGTTGTTACAAAAACGGGCCCATTTTTTGTCAAAAAAAGAGCATTTATAACCTTTAGGGGGCTTATAGAGTGCTCCTGGGGCTGGGGGGGGGGGGGCAAAATTGAGTAAAAACTGGCCCTTTTTTTGCTCATTTCTGCCTTCCCCAGCCCCCAGGAGCACTCTGAAAGCTTCCTAAAGGCTATGCATGGCCATTTTGGTAAAGGGGGGCAGGATTTCGGGAGGCAAAAAGTGCTGTATTCAGTGTATAAGAAGCACCCAGATTTTCAGCCTCTTTTTTGAGGGAAAAGGTGTGTCTTATACTCCGAAAAATACAGTAATTGACAGTCTTAAGCAATACATTATCTATTAAGTCCTAGTTCAAAATGTCAGCTGTCCAACTAGTAAACCCAAAACTAGAAAACACTTTCAGGAGAATTGAATTCCTAAAAGTAAAACTTTATTGGATATACCATATTGGTACTGAAGAAACAAAACCAACTCTGATTTTCCTGCACACATTCTTGCATAGTTAAACAATAACTTCTCCTACCCACCCTGGGTGATCACATTGTCACCATTTTCTCTTGTCAAAAGCCTGGGTGAAGAGCCATGTTTTCAAGGCTTTTATAAACAAGAGGCCAGCTGAATCTTGGTGAGGAGGAGCCTGATTGCGGAAGTTAGGTATTGCTGCAGAATTATCTTTGTGCTTTGTTTCTTTTGGCTAATATTGCTGGCTGTAGAAGTCTGACCACACATCTTAAAGTTGCCAAGTTTGAAAAACATTGGTCTGTTGGCTTACCAAATTGTTAAGATTCCATCAAATCTTAATTTATTTGGGATTTTTTGGCAATATCGTAACAGTGGGTTTATAATTGCGTTCTTTAAGTATGTACTTTTGACTTCTTAGTCTAGTTCAGTGATGGGCAACCTTTTTGGTGTGGTGTGTCAAAAATCGGCAAAAAATCGAGCATAACTCGCGTTGT